CAGGGCGCTTTGCTTTTATGCTCAGCGTTCACATCCAGCATCTGAGCACAGATAACCACCTCAGAGCTGTTAGGAGTACGTTTGAGAAGCCATTCCCAGCAGCATCTGCAGTGTGGGAGAAAGAGGAGCTCCGTGCTGGGCGGCCAGACACAAACATCTGCCCACAGCCAGCACTGCACCACGTGCAGGGAGCTCGGCAGGAGCACGGCGCCCTGATCTGAGCACCGTGAGGTTAATTGTACCTGATGTGCAAGCCTGGAGTATCAGCAGTCATTCAGGATTAAAGATGGGCTGTGATTATTTTTTCCTCCTCCGTGCTCCCAAGACACAGCTTGGCACTGCCATTAGAATGCATCAGAGGAGAGAGGGGATGCATTGAGAGCCAGGAGTCCCAGCCTGCACCCTGCCTTTGTTACTGGGTGAAGAAATTGATATTGAGAGAAGCCATTCCCGGAATGCTCTCAGGTCAATCAGAAATGGCATTCACACACGTGCCCTGGTGCACTCACACAGCCCTGTGGATGAGGTCAGAACTGACCACTGCAACAAACTTATCTGCACCTTTTTTTTTTTAATAAATGGCTTTTCTTTATAACCAGCAGCCGATTTTCACCTTGGAAGGAGAAAGAAAATCCCTCCAGGAGAGATCAGACGTTCACTGCGTCTCCCACGTGGGCTGGGTTGGCTGTTCTAGGGGTTTTGTCCCCACATCAGTCCCTAGGAATTGTAGGTGTGACAGAAGACACAGCACAAAAGATGGGCGCAGCGCAGCAGGCAGCAGTGAGCAAACAGGATCTCCAATTCATCTCACCCTCTTTAGGCAGCGCTCTGCCTGCACCAGGCTCTGCCCTGACACCACAGACCGTTAGATAGGACGAGGCACATCCCAACTCACCGGCTGCACCGTGTCCAGGTGAAGCCCACCGTGCTCTAACTGGCATTTCAGAGGTAAAGGCCACACGCTGCTGTCCTGCCATCTCTCAGCTCACCTCAGAACCCAGATGTCATTTATTCCTTCTAACCCAATCGCTGATCATTAGCACGAGCTCGTCTCACGAGTGATTCCACAAGAGGCCTTTTGTCAAATCTACACTGGCATTTGTCAGTTTGAAGTTAAGCACGGCGCTCACCAACTCGATACCAAGCTTCCCTCTAAAGCATAAATTAACATTTTAATGGCGCTCGCATCTATTGGAGGCCCAAAGAAGCTCATTAGATTTCATCTCCCCCAAAAGTCCTGCTTTGGTGAAGGCAGATGCAGCGTTTGAGGACAGCTTTCCCTATCAGAGGGAAGAAGGGTTTGGTTTTGGGTTTTTTTTGTTGCCTTGTAGGTCATTCCTGACAGCTCAAAGGAAGAGCCTGCAGAGAGAGGAACGAGAGCAACCACCACAGTTGGCTTCACCCTACAACTCTCCCACACTCTGCACATTTCCTTTGTGCCACATCGTGGTTTTGTGACAATCCTTCCCAGAGAAACCAGATAGGAAAGCAGCTTTGTCCTCAGCCGCGTGTCAGCAGACACCCTGCCTCCCCTCAATCACAGCGCACGTATCTGTATTTACAGGGACCACCAAAAGGGGAAACGGGGTGGGGGAAATCTCACAGCCAGCCCCAAAGACCTTTCTCTGCCCATCCACCAATGAACAGGAAGAAACAAAAGCAGGAAAAGCTTGAACGAGAGGAAAACCTCTCCACCATATTGGATTTTCTCCTCCTCCTCCTTCCCCCCCCCCACCTTCTTCAGACAATGCCTCCGATTTGCAACCTGCAATCCAGCACCAAGCCCTGAATAAAAGCACAGCAGATAAACCAAGCAGCAGCTCAGCGCATCTCCCCACTTCGAAGGCAGGCAGAAAACCTGAAGCAAACCCCACCGGCAGCAGCGCTGCCATTTTTTTTTTCTTCCCCTGTTCTTTTCTCTCCTTCTCAGCCGCCTGCAGCAGTGTGGGGCCGCATCCTCCACAATAGGACAAAGCCACAGCGCTGCTCTCCACCC